TGGACACAAAATATACTTAAACTTAATTCAGTAAGGTCTCTCAAGGCAGGAAATTGCCTTATCTGTCAAAAGGGGAACTGGGAAAAGTGCTAAGAGAAGCTCTATAGTGAAGCAGGGAGAAGCAGAATTATATGACCCGATCTCTGACTGAATTTGAATCCTTCCTGTGCCATCAGACATTGCTTAGGGCATGTACAAAGCTCTGACATCCCTGTCTATGCTGAGCCACTCTTTGCATGACCTCTATGTTGTTAAGTAAATTTTCCCTTTCTGAGCCCTGGTCTACACTACAGAGTTAGATTGACACAAGGCATCTTACATTGACCTAACTATGTAAGTGTCTACACTAAAATTTAGCTCCCGCTGATGTAACGCACCCACTACACCAACTTAATAACTCCACCTCAATGAGAGGCATAGGGTATGTCTACACTACAGGATTAATCCGAATTTAGATAATTCGAATTTGGAAAACAGGTTGTATAAATTCGATTGTGCGCGGCCACACTAAGCACCTTAATTCGGTTTTTAACCACATAAATTCGGTGGTGTGCGGCCACACTACCCCATTAACTTAAACACAGTAATTCGGTGGTGTGCGGCCACACTAACCCTAATTCGAATTAACAAAATCGATTTAGGCTCTACTCCGTTCGTCGAGGTGGAGTACAGAAATCGATTTAAAGGGCCCTTTAATTCGAATTAACTGGCTCTGTAGTGTGGACGGGTGAAGGGTTAATTCGGATTAAGGCAGCTAAATCCGAATTAAAGTCCTAGTGTAGACCAGGCCATAGAGTCAATGTCAATGTAATTAGGTTGACACAGTGTAAACACTGTGTTGTTTATACCAACTGTTACTGGCTTCAGAAGCTGTCCCGCAACTGCCCCACAGTTCAATCGGAGCTCCTGGTGAGGATGCATACTACTGACACAAGGAGCAAAATGTAGACATGCACAAGCAAATAAATTGTGTAGCGTAGACATGCCTTGAGTAGTGTTTGTTGGAGGAATTCTTTTGATCAGCACCTTTACTCTGTTCCTCCAGCTGCCCATTGACATGGCAGATTCTCTGGCTTTATTCTTAATATATGTCCCAGATATTTCCATCTTCTTTTCTGCATATCTTTAGAGATAAGAGGTTGTTGAACTCTGATGAATGTGGGCATTTGTTATAAATTCATTCTATTTAATACCTAGTATTTTCCTACGGCATTTGCTTTTGAAGACATTTAGACATCTCTTTTTACCTTTGGTGAACATGCTCAGTATTTCGAACAAACATTTCTTAGAGCTACTCCTTCCACAACTCCTTCTACATTATTGTGCTTGTTAGTTAGTTTTTAAAAGAACCCACTGCATGGAGGGAATGGTTTGGGGGTTTTTTAAATCAAAATTGAAGAAACAAAAAGGATGGGCAGTAATAACAACCTCTAGTGTTGCTTAGTATGCACTAAGTGGTATTCATGTCTTAACTCACTGCTTAGATGTTACAGTGAAAAAACAGTTTTGCTAACCCCATGCATCCAAAAATCAAGTCAACCCCCCAAGATCATAAGATTAGCATAAAAATACTTTTTTTTTAAATAATTTTTGGGGGGTGATATTTGTTTTCCAGCTTTTGAGCCTATGTTCCTTGTGTATTCAAACTTTTCTCTGCAGCCATGGGTCTTGGAAACGTAGGTTTTTGTTTTTGTTTCTTAAATAAAAGCTGAAACTCTCACTTAATCATATGAATCTAGGAGATGAGGACTTAAGGAAAACACCAAATACAGTGGGATTTATGATAAAATCATGAGAGTTGACAACATGGAAGAACACTACATATATATCTAAGAGAGACAGACTGATAGAAGATAGTGAGAATGGGGAAGAACATGCTTGATTTTTTTTTCCTGGATGCCTTCTGGGACTCAAAATACTAGGCCTCAAAATACTTCTTGACGGACTGAAAACTGATCCTGTCCATGTCACCTCACAACAGAGACTTCATGGAGCATTGCTAATTCTGCTGACAGAATCTGCAATGCAGATGGTTTGTTATGGTTCCATAGCCTTTGGGGTCCATTTGTTCAAAGGGATCATCTTGATATGTAGAGATTTACATACCAGTGGGTCATTTTCTTTAGTGCTATTTAGAAGGTCTCCTGCATGGAGATAAGAATAACTTGGGTTTCTTTGAGCTCCCCAGGGGGGAGGGGCATGGGCAATGCCCCTAATTCAGACTAAGCAGAGGGAATTTGTTCCCAGTGCCTACCCCAGCAACCTCTCATCCTTGCCTGGCACCAGGGGTTGCTGCGCTTTCCCTGCCAGACTTACCTACTGGGGGGAGAGGGGCTCTGTCTTTCTCAGGCTGCATGTCCGTCCGTCCCCGTCCCACCCTCCTGGCATGTTTCCAGCTTGCTAAGCCCCTCTCCCCAGAAGCCAGGCCCACACAGGGAGTGCAGGGTGCGCAACAGATCCGATTCCCCTGCCAGATGAGGATGGCCACTCCAGGTTGCTGCCTTTGTGCAGCGCAGCATCTGCCGGCAAGAGCCCAACTGGGGAGGCGGTGGCGGCTCACCACCTCTATTCCCCACCTGGGCCCAGCTGCTGGGGAGAGGGGTCAAGCGAGCTGGAAATGTACTGGTGGGAGGCGCAGCCAGAGCCCCCCTTTCCCCACACATGGGCCCAGTCAGGGAGCGGAGGGGGCGGGCCAACGCCACCTCCCCAGCCAGACTCTTGCAGGCAGCTGCTGTGCTGCACAGAGGCAGTGACCCAGAGCGGCCACCCTCACCCAGCAGGAGAAGTGGCTCCATCCTGCCCCCGCTGCTCCCCACCCAGGCTCCGCTGCTGGGGAGAGGGGCTGAGCGAGCCGGAAATGTGGCAGAGCCCTCTCCCCCCAACAGGCTTTATGGTTACACCCTGCATGTCTGTGTAAAGCCATAGCCCTGGTCCAGCAGCTCTAACCCCAGCAGCCTGTCAGCAAACACCAGCCACACTCTGGCTTCCAGAAGCCTTGATTACTACTTGAAGGGGACCCCAACACACTCCCAGTCCCAGATTTTTCTGCACTGTCCAGCCCTCTTGTGGACAGCCTAGATATAGTAGGTCCTTTGTCCCTCTAAATGGTTCATTATACAACAGTTTGCCACCTAAAATGGAGTTACCCACACAGTTCACAACACTGGATTAGTTTCAGTTAAAGAATAAAACAAGTTTATTTAACTACAAAAAGAGAGATTTTAAGTGAATACAAGTATGAGGCATTAAAGTCAGAAGTGGTTACAAGAAAAATAAAGATAAAACATTTTCTAACCTTAACTAACTAGACTTGATTCAAAGCAAAGTCCTTTGCCACATGTTTCCAGTAACACTGATAACCAAACTCTCAGGCCACAATCTTCTTCCAAAGTCTAGCAACTGTGTCTTTTGTCATCTTAGGTGAAAAGAGAGAGGTAGGGAGGGAGAGATAAACAGGTGTTTTTGCCCCTCATTTTTATAGTTCAGTCCTACTTTGAGATGCATTTTCCTGAAGGTTACCCCTCAAAATAAAGTTTATTCAAACAGTAAAGAGGGAAACACAGAGTCTAATAGTGAAAGAGGCTCTTTCTTCTCACCTGTTTGCTGAAATGCAGATTTTTCTTGTCTACTGTCCCCCCCCCCCCCACACTGTCTGAGGATCCTTTTTACTACTTATACATAAATTGAGGTAACACACATTCCTTTGTTTAAGACCTGCTTGACCAGTTCTGCCTAATCAGGGCTATATGGATTTGAACATGTACCACCAATGTCATTCAGGGGAATTCATAACTTTACATATAATGTTGCTATCTATATTCTACCATGATATTATTGACCTGCAAATTATTAGTTTTCAAATAATACCTTACAAGGCATATTTTGTACAAAGATTCTTACAATAGTATGTAGGGTGTGAATACCGGGTGTCGTCAGACGCTACCGGTGTGGTGCTCTGCTCTGTTCAATGATGATAACAGTCAGCTGTGTGCATGTGTGTTCTCCCTGTGTGCTGTCCCAGCTCTGCTCAGATAGCTGGCATAGCAGATCTCGAGTGAACCACCCAATGACGCTAATAAGGTACGAAGGCACCCGGCCAGGTTTATTGTCAAATGAAGCACAGTAATAGTTTCCCGCAGACTCTACAGGACAGACTACGAATATGTGCCCCCTGACAATGGACCGGCTCAGTCAGTGGCGGGATTTGCCACTGCCCCCTAGGCCAGACAAAGACGTCCACTCAGGGATGCATTCTTATACATAGGTACAAATAGGTTACGCATCATTGAATGCATTGAGGTACAGCCCCTCTACGCATTAGGGTGTTGCCTTTCTCCTGGTACAGGTTGGTTCGATCAAACAAGTCTATCCATCATATTGTTTATCCATCGTATTGTCCTTTAATATTGTCTATCCATCATATTGTCCTTTTGACCCTGTCTTTAGGCTGGGTCTGCCTGTTCCTTGTTATCTCTGTGGGATGTGTTCATACCAGGCTGTTCTATTGCCATCCTGGCACACGTTCTTTTAGCAGCCTTCCTCTTGCCAACTTCTGTGAGCAGGGCCTGCCTCTGGCTCACAGCCTAACTTTGCTTTATGCTAGCAATGTCTTGACCATTACTTCAGTTTAGGCCTCAGGCCTCATACCGGGCCTCTGATACCAAGGGTTTATGTCTCAGGGCCTCATCTTACTATATGGGTGCATTCCATCACAAAGATATAAAGGCAACAGCTGTGATAACATCAGAATCACTAAGTATGTGTGAATAGAATTACTAAGAATGGAACTCAGTGACATGCACTTTGAGGTTATACGTTCATTGTCCATGCTTTGTATAAGATGCTTTTTTTAATTTATAGAGCACCAAAGATAATCATTGACTGTATGCTTTCTGGACCTTGTAGGTCTTCAGAATCTTTTTGAAGATGATATTTTTGCATGTAGTAATTTTTACTAGGAGGCTGTTGAAGCAAAATGGGTGGCATAGAAAGAACGCATAATGCTGGGAGCTGGCAAAGAAAGCAAAGAGACCACAGAAGCATGGGAGGAATGTAGGTAGTTTGTTGATGAATACTTTATAAAGCTGGAATTAAAATAGGCAGCGTGGCCTTGAATGGACAAAAGTTAAAAATAAGAAATACTGTAAAAATATCATTTGAAAAGACACAGTCTGCCAATGATCTCAACAACACCAAGCAAAATTCCCTTAAAACACACAAAGAGGAGGAGATCCAGTCAGCAATCAAGTCACGAAGGGAAAACAGTGAGAGCTTAACATAGGGCCAGAATATAGCAGTAATATTAACTGCTTTCTCTTTTCCAATGTTTAATGAGGAAAACTGGAGATAAAATGCCAGAAAATGGAAACAGTGCTTCCATGGAAGGAAAGAAACAAAACTAGGGCTTTAGCAGTCACACAAAAACATGTCTTGTGTAAACCAAAATAACTTAGGAGGGATAAAACTGTAAAACAAGGTAGGCTCATGCTTTGGAAAGGGACAGCAGAGGACATTTCTAGTCCAAAAAAAGAAGTATTTATGAAAGACAAGGAAGATGTTCCAAGAAACGGACTATTAGCTAACATAACTCTTTGAGAAAGGAAGTAAAGTGGAGACAGAGAATGAGCAAGGCAGCAAGCAGTAAATTTGACATCAGTGTCTGACACTACATGGAATAAAATCGTAAAGCACACATACACACTCAAAGATGATAAAAATATTGAGTTGTTATGGACTTAATAATGTCTGAGAAATCTGATATTCTCTAAGTGGGAGTTAAGACAGACAGGAGGAGGGTGGAGAAGGAAATGAATGGAAATGAGTGTTACAGGCTAATCGGGAGATCTTAAGCCACGTCTGCTGCGACGACTCCACTGAACATATTATCACTATATTCATCAGTATGGACTTCAAAAAGGAATTTGGGTTATCACTAGAAGGAAAACTAATGCCTATGATTAATATTTATGGGATGGGAGGCACTGTCCTTAACTAATAAAGTAAGTGGTTGGGAAACCAAAGGTGGATTGTAACAGTACTGTGAAAGTGTGATTCAAGGCAGGGAAAGCAGCAATTGGTTTACCACAGGCTCTTCTCTAGTCCGTAACTGGAAGGTCCTATCCGTGGGATACACGATCTTAGACACAAAACAAAATGAGGTGAATCATATAGTAAGGGAAAGGATCAGTTACAAAGAAATAGAGAAAATGAGAAAAAAAGTGCAGGTAATAGCTCATGATTTTTGAGTTAAGACATGTTTGGGATTATAAAACTGAGGTCAAGAATGCAGAATGTGTATAGTAAATAGGAATAGTCCACAGGAAGACACAGAACCACAAAAGCACTAGGATCAGATTTTTAAAGGTATTTAGGAATCTAAAATTGCAGGTGGCACTTTTGAAAATCCCAGTAGGTGCCCATCGAATCTTTAGGTTGATAAATACATTTAAAAGTTGGCCCTTAGTACCATTTGTATCTTTTGTCAGATAGGCAAACAAAATGTTGGAATGGACAAGTAGAAGCATGAAATACATGTTTTTTAAAAAAGTCATTCAGGCATTATATGCTGCATTGCATTAGTTCACTCATTGTATACTTCTGGAGTTCTGGCTTCAAGTTAGAGACCTGACACAGCAAAATGTGAGTTTAGTGGTCTCACCACACTCTCTAATGAACATAATTACTTAGGATCTGATCCAATGTCCATGGAAATCAATGGGAGTCTATTGACTTCAAGGGGTGTTGGATCACTTCCTTATATAGCTTCTACTGTCCCTCAAAATATATCCTAGATTTATTATTTATAATTATATGTATTATCATAATGCTTAGGAGTCCTAGTTTAGACCAGGACCCTATTGTGCTCAGCACTGTACAAAGACAGAACAAACAGACAGTCCTTGCCCCAAAGAGCTTACAATATTATGTTAAATCAAATAAATAATAAAATGACAAAAAACATAGAAAATTAAAACAAGCTGTTGTGAAGGCCCAGTTATAACTTTAAAAGCACACTATAATTTAAAAAACAAAACAAAACAATAGAGACACAACTACTTACTATTATGGCTTACACTACTCCAGTAGTGTTATAAAATTGTGCAACATTTCAATGAAAATGTATTGTTTTCTTTTCTCTATTTTCTGTTTAAATACTGGGTATGGGAAAGGAGCATTTTTGTTTTAGTTTGTTCTGTTTTAACATTTGGTGAGGATGGTGTCATTCTGGTTTGTGATGCCATAAAAACTGAATAGTCAAATAATTGGTGTAGGGATGTGTGACGGGGTAGACTTGGCCCAGAGGCCCCCTGCTGGAAGCCTCAGGGACCTACTACACCCTATCCCAGAAAGGAGCAGTGGAGAAGTCCTCCAAGCTGCCTAGAGTGGCTGCAGGGGGAAGCAGCTGATTGGAGAGAGGCTACAGGGAGCAGCCAATCAGGGCCCAGGAGGACCACATAAAAGGAGCTGCAGTAGTAGAAATAGTCAGTTGCTGCCTGGAGCCAGAGGAGCATGGATGGTGGTGTTCCTGGCTGGCTGAAGGACATATAGGACCATGGACAGAGCAGTTGCTGGCAGAGACTGGGGGAGCAGAGAAGGTGTTCCTGGCTGGCTGCTGGGACTGAAGCAAGCAGTTGCTGGCAAGGACTGCAGGAGCAAGCGAGAGCTCCTGGCTGGCTGCTGAGACTGAGTACAAGCCTTCAGCCCTATGGTAAGGGTGAAGCATTTATGGTAAGGGAGGCTGTGGAGAAGTGGCCCAGGGAATTGTAGCAGCAGCACAGTGTGACGGGTTGGATCACAGAAACCCCCTTGGGAGCTGCCACCCGATGTGCCAAGACTACCCCTGCTTCTGTTTTCCCTGCCAGCTCAGGACTCCAGCACCCCGTCTTGCTGAGTCAGACACTCCTGTCTGACTCCAACACAGACCAAGGGTCTGAATCACTTGTCCCAAAACTGTGAGTTTACCCAAAAACAGCTCACAGGAGTGTGCTTGTCTTTAGCACTCAGATGCCCAACTCCCAATGGGGTCTAAACCCAGATAAATCCGTTTTACCCTGCATAAAGCTTATGCAGGGCAAACTCATAAATTGTTCGCCCTCTATAACACAGATAGAGAGATATGCACAGTTGTTTGCTCCCCCAGGTATTAATACATACTCTGAGTAAATTACTAAATAAAAGTGATTTTATTAAATACAGACAGTAGGATTTAAGTGGTTCAAAGTAGTAACAGACAGAACAAAGTAAGTCACAAGCAAAATAAAGTAAAATGCGCAAATCTATGCCTAATCAAACTAAATACAGATAAGTTCCTCACCAGTTCCAGAATGCTCCCTTTTACAGGCTAATCTCCCTTTAGCCTGGGTCCAGCAATCTCTCACAACCCCTGTAGTTACTGTCTTTTGTTTCAGTTCCCTTCAAGCATCCTGGGGGGGTGGAGAGGCTCCTTCTTTAGCCAGCTGAAGACAAAATGGAGGGGTCTCCCCCAGGGTTAAATAGACTCTCTCTTGTGGGAGGAGACCCCCCCTCCTCCCTCCTATGCAAAGTCCAGCTCCAAGATGGAGTTCTGGAGTCACCTGGGCAAGTCACATGTCCCTGCATGACTCAGTCTTTACAGGCTGAAGCCATTGTCCACATGGTATCTTGCATGTCTCCAGGAAGACTTCTTATGTGGATTGGAGCATTCCAAGATGCATTGTTCCAAGTGTTTCCTGATCAGGTACTTAACCTGGCAAATTCCTTCCTAAAGAAGCTGACCAAATGCCTCACCAAGCTTACTTAGAAATCAAGCAAGCATACAGCCCATATTCTTAACCTCAAGTAGAAAATGGTATATATGTACAAAGGATGAATAGATATAGTAGACCATAACCTTTACGGAGATATGTTACATGGCACAGGCAGCACAAAACATATTTCAGTTATATCATACATACATTTATAAACACCCACCCATAAAGCCTTATGGGGTACGCTGTCACACACAGTTTAAAGGGGTGCAGCAGGGAGGAAGCCCTGGGGACATGACCCTATACCAGGGTCGAGGGGCTATTTGAAGCTGTCTCAGAAGGGGCTGCAGGACTGATTAAGGCCTGAGCCCAAGGAAAGCTGCAGGTAGGAAGCCCTGGGGGGTACAGCCCCATACCTGGGCTGGGACTCTTTAAAGACTGAGCCTGGGGAGGGCTACAGAGATAGGCCCTGGTTGGACTGTATGCCCTAGAAGGGGTCTGTTTGTTTCACATACAGACTGTGTGAGAGACTTGGACAGAGGGCTGAGTCATTGAAAACCTGACTGAAAAAACACTGACAGAGGTTAACGCAGAATGAGCGTGCAGGCACACGCATTCAGCCAGCAGGAGGTGCTCGTGAGAGGTGCATGCCACCCCATTACAGGATGCAAACTATGGGAAAGGGAAAAGATTCCTACATTTCTGCAGCAGTAATTACTCACTGAGAACTATATTCTGCCCTCTGTGAGCATGCATACCTTGCATGACTACTTTATACATCAAAGGAAGCATACATTCTTGACAATTGCATGTTTTTATAAATGTATATATTCTGGTATGTTTTTTGTAGCACTCTTGCTTTCCCATAATACTGTAATTAAGTACACTTATATTACAGAGCACTTTTCCCAAAAGTTGAGTACATATTGCAGAATGATCACTGTAGCCTACCTCTGGTATCTTTTATACCAGTTTTGCACTGGTGCAACACCACTGAATTGATTTACACTGATGTAAGTGACATCAGCATCTGACCTGTCAATCTCTGACTTCTGCACATTGTGGGGTCCCATGCGGGGAGAATAAAGCACACGACCAATGTGGTTGCAAGCTGAATCTGAATCCTGTTTATTACAAGCTTTCTTTTATAGTCTTTCTCAACATTACATAACACAATTAGGCTATAATCACACATCTACCGATTGGACAAGAAGGAGAATCATGTGTTTATCACATGTATAGCCCCACACTGATTGGTTCAACCGTTCCTTACATAAGGCCATGATTTATTACCTTGTTTACCTCATCTTATATAATCCCTAGATC